TGTGTAAAAGATAGTAAATCGTCCTTTAATGTATTTAATGCACATTGAAATTTACTAATCTTTTCCATTTGTACTTGATGCTGATGTTGTACTCTCTCTCCTTGTTCTTTTTTGCCACTGTTGCTGACTTTCCTGTAACTGTTGGAGACTTTCTTCCTGTTTCCTTTCTTGTTCCAGTTCCAGGTGCTGGTTTTCTTGCAACTGCTGTAGTCTCTCTTCTTGTTTATTTCCTTTCTCCTCCAAACACTGCTATAGTCTCTCTTCATGTTTATTTTCTTTCTCCTCCAACCACTGTTGTAGCCTCTCTTACTGTTTCTTTTCTCATTCTTCTTGTTTCTTTTGCTGTTCTTGTATTGATGCTTAGTGGTAGTTTGATTTGCCACTTCTCGTTTCCATCTTTTTTTTGTCTTTTCTGTCCAACTCTCTGAAACCAATTTGATTTGTTGTGTATCTGTTTGTTTGTTTGTTTCCGCTAGAAATTCTTTCCGAGGATCTTCAGCGATACAAGTCCTTTCTTGATTAAACCAGTTTATTCTTCCTCGATCCAACTTTTAGTACACAGAAGTTCCACAATCAGTACGTTTCTCATAACTTTAAACTTAACAACTTTTATAATACACACTATAAATCACAGTGATTCACAATCTCGATAACTTCACTCTCGAAGAGTGCAAAACACACACTTTACGGCTCATTAACTTGAAACTAACAGAATCATAAATTACACGGAACTCAAAGTAACTACTGCGCTCTGTTCATTCATTTCTGCTGGGTTTCTCTGCCAGGCTTATATACTAACAAAGAGGGCCTCTCGAACACACTCAGACTTCCCTGATCATTCGAGAAACTCATCAGGAGCGTCACGTGACTTCCGCTGTCATAACAATACTGTAGTAAGTATATAATTCCACACAAGTCTACTGGCATAATGTATCAAACTGAACACAAAGACAAAGTTTATGTTTGTGCCCATCTCACTCTGAATAATAGACTATTTTTACTGGTCAGATATAATTGAAAGCAAAGAAACAGATAACAGTATAATAATGCACAAGCTGCAAAATACATAATTCTTGGATTTGGTTATGCTCTCAGGAAAAAGAAAACCAAAGCTAATTAACCACACTTTTCATTAGTAAATAATATTTTTATTAGTAGGATGTTAGCAATAACAAGCTCTATTTCTAAAAGTACTATAAAAACCTAATAACTTTTCATTTGCATACACCTAATAATTACCGTGTTCATTCTATTGATACATTATTATAGTGAATACTATTTTATACAATTTATATTTGAGTAATATACACAATATATATCCTCCAGCAATTGAAACAAAACCTAGTGGAATTCAGGAATTTACACAGGATACACATTTTTTAGGAAATTGCCAATATGTTTGAAGATCTAATAAGATTCAAACACTAACAGATTTGTACTGAGTTGAGACTGTAACCATACTACTATTGTTTGTAAAATAAGTGGTGTCACATTGCAATTTGCAATAGAAAACTTGCACAGTGAAAAGCAAATACGAAATTACATAGCAGCCCATACTGCCACCGTTGTTGTGGTAACAGTGGTGATGGCCACTATGACATGAAATTGGAGGTGAAGTTGACAGTTTTGGCAGGCACAAGTGGAGTGGAGGGGTTAGGGGAGCACTGCCTATTAACCCTTTCCAGACTGGAAAGATGCCACTGATATTCCTTTATGTTTTTCTTCCAACAGTAGAAATAATAAACCAAACTGCATGAAACTTGGAACCATTTTACTACATAGTATACAGTTTTGGGTTTAAAAAAGTCATATTATTTGATTCAGTTTTTCTATAATTTTTTTATTTTGTGAAGTCCCAAAACAAAATTTTGTTTTGGGACACTTTTAAAAATATATCACAAATACCTTATTTCATTCTAAAATTTCACATGTTTTAAAGGTTGATGAAAAAGTTTCATTTTATATATCTAATCAGTTTCAACGTGTATAATATTTCTTTCGAAACTTTTATTTTGCCAATTGTAGAAGTAACCAATTTTGGCTATATATTGTGTAAAAACATTGCAGAAACTGACAAAAATGTTTCTTTGACCTAGGACCTACTAACCCTTCAAAAAGGTTATAGTTCAGGCTACAAAACAATACTTTTTCTAACAATATTCTTTAATAAAATCGATTTATATTTAACAAATATATCTTATTTTCAATAAATGATAAGTTCTTTTATTTATGTGCATGAGCTGTTTTAATAAAACAAACTTAACAATAACATAAAAAAATAAGGAGTTGTGTCACATTTGAATCACTGGAGTATTTGGCTATCACCTACATAATTTCTGAAACTAATAAGTCTTACCTGATGTCCTGTCATGATAAAAAATTTCCATAGCTTTGAAACAAATATAATTTATAAACAAAAACTACAGTAAAAAGCCAAGCACCAAACACTTTAAAATAATGTACTCAATGAAAGATTAATGGATGCTATGGAGAAAAGATGAAACCAAAGCTAAATAACACCACTGCATCTCAAGCCATGATCAACTAATCATGCTGAGATGGGAATAAAATTAAAACTTTCAAACCTCTTTCAAAAACAGTTAGATAATTATGTCAACTGCATTTAAATATGGGAGTTTTACATCTTTGCTATGCAAAGATTACTTTGTCATTCAAAACACAATTTGATTACCAATTGTTGTTATTAAATTTTTAGAAGGTATTTTACACCTTGTATCATACACAATGTAATACCATCTTACTAATACTTACACCATGCTTTACAAGGATGTTTCATAAGTTCATACTATTACAATACTTTTCATAAATATTATGCTCTGTACTTGATCTTGTAAGTATCCTTTTTATACAGATTGTTACCCAATCCAATATCACCAGCAAACTATCAAGCATATATCAACACTATTCATCTAGTACTATCACTGTATTTTATACATACTTTTACACAATTTCACATGTAAGATAAATATTGTCAATTTTATGAACTGATTTAAAGACTACTTAGTTCCTATTTGAATTTTTCAAGATACCAAGATTTTTCTCTGAACTATTTTATCTACTATTCTTTAACTACAATTTTTTTCAAACGTTGTCCCATAAAAAAAAAAAAAAATTAAAACCAATATTATTTGGAATTTAAAGATACTCCAACAAGAAAAAACAGTTAAGGCTTGCTTCTTTCTTTCTAAAAATGTCTTACTATTTAGTCATGCATACTTCTTGTAGTTGTACAATGTGTGAAGAAATATATGTGTAAGCTACAAAACTTTCTAGACATCTAATAATCTCTATGGAGTCTGAAACAGTACATTACTAAACATGCAAGCCACAAGACAATTTACATTAGTTGTACAAAGAAACATTTTATACACAGGAGAACTGCAGCTGAGTAGCACAAATCTAACACCAAACAGAAGAAGACAAACACAAAGAGTATAAGCACATACTCGGGGCTCTTGTGGGTGGAGGATGGGTGAAGAGGCTGTGATGCACACCCACACTGTTTGAAGCTGACCCAGATACTGTGAAAAATGAAGGAGGAAAAAAATGAGTTGTTTCAGTCAGGATTATCAAAGCATTTCAATCATGCTTTTAGAATTTTAGGCATTGTGTGTTACAAACATGCTTAGTTCTACAAGATGAAGAACACTAACATACATGTTCAAATTTAAACACCATTTTAACAATTTCTAAACTTAGTGTATACAATAAAGAGCAAGAATAATTATGCACTCTTAAAAGTTACAGTTCCTTAAATAAAAAATGGTACTGGTAAAACATATTCAATATTTTCATTTTTAATTCAATTTTAGTTTTCATAAAAGTCTATAGTGTTCAAAATATGGACTATCTTATGCATAGAATGTTTACCAGTTATAAGAGCACAGTTTCAGTTCACTATTTATTCAGTTTTAGTTATGTAATCTTAGAAAGAAACCAGATATTGGTTTAGCAAATTTTACCAACATAGGAAAAATGACACTTTTTTTAAAATGAACTAAAATGTTCATAAACTCAATAAATGTTATAAAGTTCATCAAAATTACTAAACTATCTGTTGTTCTAAACTTATTAAAATGCAAACATGCCATAAAGGTGTTGGTAGAATTTCACTGCAGAGCAGTATTATGCTACCAAAAAATATATTTCAAAATACAGATTTGAAATTTTAAGGTCATTTTTAATGACTTCATACATTCAAAGTTTTTTTTTTTTAACCAGGAAGAGATAATGAAAATATACTGCTGATAACAGATTAAGAATATTAAGAAATCTTGGTAGCTGCAATGCTGTGTATCTTCCAAACCTTTGAAACTAGTAGTGACAGATTAAATCCACTACTTTAGTTCCACTTCAGCTTCAACCAAAGTTTCTTAAGTGATGTGGTAATCTTCAAAATCTAAGATTTTCTGTTCACCAAAATGTGGTACCAATAATGGAAACATCAACACAAATAATTTAACTAAGTCTTGTTTTTCAAAGTTAGTATTTTAAGTATTTTATTTTATAAGGTTCATTTAATTCATGGAAGCTAAGTAAAATAGTAATATGAAGGAATATTTAATAATTCTTTTTTTTCTTAAATAAACATAGTCAACATCATCACTCACCACTTGCAATGAGATAGGGAACCATAAGAATCACGGACATTAGATGGTATAAACACCAAATTACAGCACCATTTGACTCGGGCTCCTGCCGGAAAGCGTCAGGCATTTTTACACTCCTAGTGGCTTTGGAAAAATTAGAATTTGTGGTTAAATGTATAGTTAATTTTGAAAGAAAATTTGAATACTACTTTTTTTTTGCATCTACATGCTACTGTGATATTTTCAGTGAAACTCATTCCTAAAACAGCAATTTAAGTATATCGAAAATACAACAGGAAGTTTGAAAAAATTTCTTACACAGTATGTACAGTACAGAATGTGTTAGACCAGAGGTGGGTTCACAACAACCAAATGTCTTAATTTCAATGGATGTTATAATTAATAATGAGTAACCATGAAACTGGCTCAAGCACATATGATTAGTGTAAATTAGTTCAGTGGTTAACATTTGCATATTGTATATTTGCATTACAAAATAGAACACAAAATAATGATCTTAGCATTTTAAAATAAACAAGTTTTTATGACAAAATATTTATCACATATCTTAATGGTAATTAACATACCGAACTCTGAAGTTGTTTAAAGATGGCATTCACATCAAAATAATTAATGCAGAGTAGAAACATTACCTTAAACTGCACAAGTGAGTATATCCATGCTTCATTAGATTTGGAAAAAAAGGATGTGGAAATAATCAAGCTCATTTCTGTATAAATATACCCTAGTACTTATTAACTTATTAGACATAACATCTTCCTTAATAAATATTTAGTTTTGTGACCACTACTTGTAGGCAATTAAAATTCACATTTGTAGACCACTGTCCTATCCCTCAGCTTATTTAAGAAATAATGTGGGAGTTATATACTGTAAAATGCATATACACTCATCCTATTTTCAGTATACCTGTGTTTGGGAGATAACAGTTACTACTTTTAGCAAGAGATAAAAGTTAAAATTTCAAATTTCAACCACTTATGCAATTCCTCAGCATACCTATCACTAGCAAGAAATAAACAGGAGTTGATATTATAAAATATGCTCCCTCAATCTGCCCTTCAGCATAACTTGGTCATTGGAAAAAGATTATACATTGTAATATATACAACTCTATGAGGAATACAAATTAAATATAAGATAAATTACTTATCACTCAGCATGTTCATCACTTGTAAAACAGAAAGTTATAGTATACTAATCAGTGTAACTTTGGCTTGTGGAATAAGTAGACTGATTAGTTGTAAAATGGGTAGTTACATTATAAAATATAGCAACTTTCATTTTATCTTTATAGACCTTTTACAGAAGAATGGAGTTTATAAGTAAGCTTGCTTCCTGTTATACCATAACATAAAATTTAAGGACAACAAGAGCCCTGTTGATCCATCTAGGTCACCCCATTCAATAACCTAAATTTAAAAGAAAACAAACAAAACAACTCAAAGCCAGCCCTTTTCTTTCAAATATTTATCAAGTCTTCTCTTAAACATCTTTAAATTTACTATATTCACCACATATGAAAGCAACCCATTCCAGAGACCAACTACCCTGTTATAAAAATAAAACTTTCTTAGCTGAAGATGACTCCTACACTACCAGTGTTCCCTATAACATTTTCAATCCATGTGCAGAATGAATTGTTTCATGTGCACCAGTATCAAGGCAATGTGGAGATGTGTGCTACCATTTTTTTTTTTGGGGGGGGGGTATTTTGAGACCATTGACTCTATTCGATCATTAAGCCGTTTTGCAATGCTACCAATTGGTTATTTGGGCTTTAGGCTTATCAACTGCCAGGGTCATTTAGGCTATCAACTGAAGATGTGGACAGCTGGAATAATGAAGTGCTCAGCACTTGATTGGTTGTTGTGCAGCCGCACAGCCATGCAGCTTAGAGGGAACACTGTTTGTGTCCCCTAGTCCTACTATTCTTGCCATTAAGTGCTAGTAGATTATGCATTGACAGTTTAAAGTTTTGGCCTGGTGTAAGATAGTGGCAGATGGACCAGTAACAATAAAATGCCATTTTTATTGATAGACAGAGAGGGTAGAAGGGTGACACAAACAGTATAATAGAAGGGCTACGTGTTCAGAGAAACCCGACTGATGGGCAAGGAACCAAACAAATCCCACACGTGAAGATGAAGGGACAGCACTTCTGGATGAAAGAGAGATGTCCATTTGCTATGGACCTCCATTCTCCTTTGGAATTCTGCTCATTTAGGTTGACTGGTCAGGCTCCTAACTCATTACTAACTTCCATTCAGTATCTGATTCATTTGATAGTCTTATCACCTCATTTGCTAAGTGAGCTCAATCTTTACATTTTTGAGATATGAAGCTTGTAGTTTCCAAGGCTCTCATATATCCTTTTCTTACTGTGTATAAGGGTTTTTATTAAGGGTTAAAGAACATATCTTTATTTAGATATATACTGATAATGTTTTATAATTACTTTAAGTGTTCTGCATTTGATTATTTGTAAATATGGTGTAGAAAGATTGTAAACTTGCATTAAACATCTAGTGAAAGCAAAGATTGCATACCACAATGGTTATTCTGTTTCTGTGTCATACCTTTCTCAAATGAGGTCGTGATCATTTCAAGGAATGGTACAGAAATTTTATACAAGTTGGTATGAGTACAGTATACCTCCCTTGGGAATGTATAGTGGGAATTGCTGTTGGCTTAGTCAATCTGGGATTTGGATATACAACATTAAGACTTTTGTCTGACTTGAAAGTATGGTATTATCATGATTCATTCTCTTGTCTTTGTCTCGAGAAGACTTGCTTTCTCCAGCCCCAGTACTCAGAGAGACTATAGAAAACAAAGATAGAAACTACTCAGGTTTGTAAAAGACCTCAGTAACCACAATGTAATTTGTAAGAAAACTTTTATGTTTTACTCATTCACTTATGTTTGTCTCTTTTACTTTGCTGTTTCATACTTTATTTATTCTGTGTATAACATTCTGTGAATCTGGTGTGTATTGCAGATACTTACAACTTTCTTTTGGACATTAGTGTAGCTGAATATCACATAAGCTACAGGAATAGTAGTTTTACATTACAATATATGAACACTCATCGTAATTAATTGCAGGAATAGGAGTTCTATATTATAAGATATAACTACTCATTCTATTCTCTAGTGTACTTGTAGTTTCAGTAAATGAAGTTACACATAAAGCGATTTAGCTTATAATACATAGAACCTTTCTTCCAGGTTATAAATACACCAAAGGATGTGATGAGCTTTACTGCAATGACTATAACTCCTATTCCTCAAAACATAGCAGTTACATATTATAATCAAGTAGAACCACTCCTCCTAGTTATTAGTTACAGCACTCACTTATCTACTTCAACCATAGTTTAAAATTGAGGTAATAAATGTTATATAATGTAATATAAGTTACAGAGATTTGTTATGCTAATGAGATGTACCTCTGGCTTGGGATGATACTAACATACACTACTGCAAATTCGTAAAAAGTGCAATGTAGAGGTTGGCCATAAAACAGTGACTGTCTAAACGTACAGGAGGATCATTAAAAAAAATGTTAATGTTTGGTGAATTATAAGTTCAACACCATTAAGGTCTTAGTTACATACTGAATAAAATAGTGTCAAGGAACTTTTTACAACTGCAAGAAACTACTTTTAGCTACTAAAATAAGCTTTAAATATGTGTACCTTCTATAAAATCCCATCAGAACGATTTTATTTTTCTCATAAATAGGCCTAAATCTATTAACGTGTGTGAAAGAAGATCTCATTTCTATGGTACAACCAACATTGTAAAAGGAAAATGGTGTTGCGTAAGCGAAGTCACATGACTAGTGTCACGCCACGTTTCTAG